CTTTTGCAATTTCTTTCCATCCTGAGCTGGCAAGTTCTAAAAGCACATTAATTCTAGTAGGTTTGGGTCTTTTTGCAAGTTTTTTGTTTTTACCAAAAACTGATTTAAACATTCTTTCAAAAAAATGCCAGTGAACCAATATGATATCTTCTCTCATATTTAACGACACATGTAATGGACCAAGAATTGGAATGAAATTATTAACAATTTCAGGTATCTGTGTTGATGGAGTATTTTTTTGTTTACGAAGCAAGGTTATTGCTCTTCTTATAAACAGTTGACCTGGGAAATCAGCAACAATTGGTATTACATTATATTGAAGGTAATTATTTAATGATGGTATATCTGTAATCATTTTAAGAGCATTTAAATAGTCATCTAAACTTTTAAGATTTTGTTCTTTAATATTAATTAAGTGACAATCCATCATCGATCTATCTTCTTGACGTTCTTCTATAGCATCATCATATGAATGAACTCTCAAAAGTTCTATTCTATCAAATTGTTTAAAGGTATTCACATTATTTTTCAGCCAATTTAGTTTTATCAAATTGTAACTATTACTCAATGAATCAATATATTTTATTAAATGATCATTAATTTGCCAATCTTCAATATTTTCAGGATTATGTATTGGAACACCATTACCATCTGCTGATATAGCTATACTGTCTTTTATAGTCTTTGATACACAAGTGGCCATGTGGTGAGCTGTTGAAAGTGTTGTTGTATTTGGCTGTCTAAAACTATGAATTGAATGGTAATCATCAATATTGAAGCAAAATAATTTATTTTTATTTTCTTCAAAATACTGATTTATTTTTGGCAAGTGACCACTTGTAATGTTTTTTTTGTATCTATCTACTGATTTGTAGGATACTGAAATACCAAGTCTTGACATCACATCTATACACTCTGTAGTAGCACCACATGAAAATAAATAAAGACCAATTTCTAATTGAAGAGAATTATTAAATTTATTCCTTAGGCCAGTCAACAAGTAGCAAAACCCAACAAGTGATTTTTTGGCATTGTCTATAGTATGTGTTGATCTATTAGAAGGTAAAAAGATATCAACTAATTCATCAAAAAAACCTTTTAATTTCATATCATGTTTCTCAATCATATCTTTAAATTTTTCAGGGTCTAACTCTATGTCTAAATTCAGCTGTCTTTGCCTTTGATACAATACTTGTGATAATAATTTAATTTTTTCATTAAATTCATTTATTTTATTTTTTTTGTAATCATTTAATTGTTTTTGGATTTCTTTTATTTTATTTATTAGGAGATCAAAATTTTCATTTGACAAAGATACCTTATCTTTATGATTATTAATATTTATATCTGACCAATAATCAAAATTTTCTTCAACATTATCAGATGAATTTTCCAGAATATGAGATAATTTGGATTCTGTAGAATCATCATCATCAACAATAAAAATTTCCCCAAAGTCTCCTGACCGTCTTTTTTTATCATTGCCTCTATTTGGCACTACAATTGATAAATAATGTGGATGACAAAGTTGATCACCAATCTTAAGGTAATTATAATCTTCATATGTTTTATGTTTTATAGCTTTGTTTTTAGAATCTTCAGTAAAAGTTCTAAATTTATTTGTATTAGGATCATTATTTTTACAGTTTTCAACTTTACATGGACCATAGTTTTGTCTCATTTTAAAACAATTTATTTTTTTTATTTTATTTAATATGTTAAATTTAAGTTTTTATGAAAATCTAATTGAATTTTTCAGTGGTTTTTTATCTCATTTTGAAATATGCATTTAATTAATAGAAATTAATTGATTTTGTAAGTTTAAATTGTTTTGTTTAACAAATATAAATGTGAATTATATTATACGCGTTTATTAAAAATTTTTTTTGGCAATGATATTCAAGCCAATAAGATTCGATTTTTGTGTGATATTTCGAAGGGAGATCATCACAAAAATTAGCCAATGAAATCAAATGTCCACTATGCTCTCCTATTGTATATTAATGATAATTTTTATTGTATATAATAATAACATTGTGTTAATATTTATTTGTCTTCTTCAAAAAATAGATCTAGAATCATTGTTATGTGACCATCAAAAAAAATCAACATCAATTAACTGATGGTAGTAGGTAATGATACTACTGTTATGAATGATAATTCTTATTGTATATAATAATAACATTATGAGATCTATGGTTAAACGAGTCATTGTTACGCGTACTATTAATGATAATTCTTATTGTATATTAATATAATAATAACATTATGAAATCTATGGTTACGCGTACTACTTATTGTATATAATAATAACATTGTGAGATCTATGGTTAAACGAGTCATTGCTACGCGTACCACTTATTGTATATAATAATACCATTGTGAGATCTATGGTCAAACAAATTGTTGTTACGCGTACTATTAATGATAATTCTTATTGTATATAGAATAAACATTACAATTATAAAATCTACATTAAAAAATTTTCCTGATGTTTCTTGTGTGTTGAGTAATTGCTTCATAAAGTTCAACGTTTTTCTTTTTTGATTAGATTATATAGTATTAAAAATATGTAAATATAAAAATAAAATGAGTTATTATAACCTGACTATAACACCTACATTCCTTTTTCTAGTCTTATTTTTATTCTTTTACAACCTGATCCTCGCATATTTTAAAAAAGAGAATTTTTCAAATATCCAATAGATAACTTTGAGATAATAGGAAGTTGGAATTTTTTTTGGAGTCACATCTGTACAAACATTTTTTCGTTCACTGTTCACTGGGGTGTTTTGTTTTCAATTGTTTGACGTTTATTAATATACGGAGACAGTTTTGGATCAGAAAACATACGTGCGTGTAATATTCGTATTGAACCCTCTACCCCTAGATAAAATTATTAAATTGTCACGTTCCTGAAGTGTGACAAAATTGAATGAGAGTCAAAATCCGCCATATGTATAAATTTTTTTTTTTTAACATTAAAAGATCATTCTATTTACGATTAGGATGTTGTTAGGAAACTGAAGCATGCACAGAGACTCAAGGAGTGGACCTATTAAAAGCTGTGATAAAGCTGCACAACAAGACCATCCGAAAGGAAAATGCATGGCTGACTTAGATTTTTAACCAGAGTAACAAAAAGACACTTGCATAGGCGTGGAAAGGATAGTTCCATTAAATTTGACACCCTAAACCTTAACATTTAATGTTATTTGACGAAATGTTGCCAAAGTTGTAAAACTATTATGTCAAATTCGTTGCCATTAATAGTATCATTTTTTACGTGCCACTTGACGATGATTTCATTTTTTTATGAGCTTCATTCTTGCAATGTCTCCATTATCAGAAAAAATACAAAATATCTGCTCTAAATACATTTGGATGCTCTTATAACCTTGTATAATCATCCTTTTTTTTTACCCACCCATCACATACTTGTAAAATTTTATTTGATGTTGATCATGCGATAATCAATGAAACTTTAATAATAATAGTAATAGTAATATATAGTAAAAAAATAAAAGAGGACAAGGGGCAAATGTGACTGACCCCTGTCTTTTTCACCATTTTTTTCTAAATCTTGTTTAATGATGTTACATTTGGCATCTAATTCACTGAAAAAACAAAGATTCAAACAATTTACTATCCAATTTATCCCCCAAAATCATAGAAGTTCACAGATACAAACAAACGCTAATACTACCAATCCTTATGTTAATTTTGACAATTTACCAAAAGCTGGTATATTTAATCCAAATTATTTAAAAAAAGTTTCAGTTTTGCCTTTTAAATATGATCTAGACCAATGTTCTAAGGAAGCATTAAAAGTAAGTGAATAGATAAATATATTTAATGAATTATATGTGTTTATGCTAAAATAATTCTTGGGTAATTGATACGTTTCATTATAAATTATTTTAGGAGAGATCCTATAAAAATTTAAGCACAGCGAAAATTTATATGCCTTGCTGGTACTATTCAATGCTAATCTGTGTTAAATTTATATGTTATGAAACGAACCGCGCGGCAATTCTTTATGAGGGCGAAGCTCATATCCTCACATCTGAAATACCTTCTTGTGTCATAGGAAATTTACATGCTTTTCAGTTAGTACCAGAGAAAAATATTTATATTTATATAAATTTCATAATATATATATATATATATATCAGAAAATTTTTTAAAAAAATTATTAATATATATAGTTGATAGCTTATTGATATTATTATTACATTAAAAAAAATTATATCTAAAGGTCATGAATTCTTTTTAGATTAGGACACACAATACGAATATATCAGAAATTAATTGAAAAAGTTACTCTAGGAAGGTTGATTTCAACAGTTTTCCCAAAAATAAAAAGCTTGAAACCAAAATATAACTTCGATTGGATAAAAGATTTACAACCAATCAACCCACAAATTTTTGCTGAAATTGATGTTGTGGACTTCACCTATAATCTCCCATATTTTACTCGATTGTTATTTGATCATTCAAAAGATAAATTCAAAAAAATCAAATCAATGACTATTGATGATTTTGTCATGGATGTGGAAAATATTGATGTGGAATTTCAACAATTTTTTCCTGTCTATCATCCTGTCTACGTATTTACAGAGGCATCTTCTACAGATAAAAGCTATCAAGTTGTTGATGCTTACAATTGTCAATTAATTGATCCATCAGTAAGCAATTTTGACTCTATAAAGTACTCTCTTGGTTTTGGCCTTCCTGATAGATTTTTATTTGGTGCATATTTCTTAAATATGCTTGATAAGATTGATGATAATTTTAATGACATTGTAACAAATGCAGAGAATCATTATATGTTGCCAATCAATTGGGATTTGGGTATCATTCAACCTTTCAGAGAAAGGTTTGAAGCAAATCAGCAATTTTTGGAAATTGTTGAAAAATATTATGGATTATTATCAGAATTGAAAGCTCTATATTATAATAATGGTTCATACAAACCAAGTTATTGTAGGAATTTTGATGATTGGATCAGTTATATTAATATGACTAATGGATGGAAAGAAATTTATAAAAAATTAAAGATTCCTTCAGATCTGCCTAGTTTGTCTGTTTTCTCGCAATACTTTTATACTGTAAAATCTGGATTTTTCCAATCAGTAAATGCAAGTGGTATAAAAGAAAAATTACATAAATTTGATCATAAATTTTCATTAAAAAATAAATTCCCTGGATCAACTTCTACTCCATATCTTGGAGTGAATCTTGGTAGAGTGAATCTTGATGGAGTGAATCCTGGTAGAGTGAATCTCGATGGGGTGAATCCTGGTAGAGTGAATCCTTTTGGAATGACAAATGCTGATATAATAAGAAATCATATATTAAAATCTAATGTCTCTTCTTCAAAATCACAATCATCACCAAAATCAAAACCTACTTCGCAATCATCACAATCACCTCCCTCTTCACGACCACCTTCTTCATCATCACGACCACCTTCTTCATCATCACCATCATCACCATCACCACCATCACCACCACCATCACCTACTTCTTCAACACCACCATCACACCATAGATTAAAGAGAACAAAATATTTATTGGATATTTTAGAACAGAGAACTAAAAAACCAAACAAATCAGCTTCACCCTCATCATCACCATCACCATCATCATCGCCATCACAAACTACTTCATCTGAAAGAAAAAAGAAACCTATATCAGTCATAGACATTGCAACAAAAAATATTACTCCTTCATCCTCATCATCATCGTCACCCTTCTCATCCAAAACACAAAAATCAGGCCCAATAATATCTGATCCTAAAGGATATTATAAAATACTTAAAATAGATTTATCATTATATAGAACTATTCCTGAAGATCTAGTGATTGAATTAAACTTCAAAAAAACATATGCAGAAATTCTGCAACAATCTAATGATCCAAATATTGCTGAAGAAGAGAAGCAAAGAAAAACTGAACAGCTTAGAAAGATTTTGGAAGCTAGAAATAAATTAAAAACATGTAGGTTTAAAAAAAAAAATTTATAATATGTTTAAGCCATATGTTTTTATGTAAAAAAATTAATAATTGTATTCTATTTTTATATAGCTGAATTGCGTATAAAATATAGTGAATTAAAATTAAATTGGAAATTTTAGAAATCATTTATCATTTGTTTTTTATACTAACATGATAATAATACATAATAAGATTGTACAAGAAACTAATTTATATTTTTGCATTTTAACTGATTCGTTTCGTCCAAAGTGCAAAGCAGATATAAAACACGACATGAAGAAACCACTGAGGCATTTTTGGAATTGAATTTATCTTGTAAAGCTTTTTGAATCTTTGGTGTCTAAATTAATTAATATTTTATATTTGTTAAAAATTATAAATAAAAAAATTACCCCAAACTTTTTTTACTCTAACCTCTTCATTCAAATAAAGGTCCAAATTTTCTTTATTGTCAACCTCAAAAACTACAGTGATACATTTATGTATTCGGTCAGGGTCTTTTATCTCAGTATCGCTTTCTTCATCATCTTTTGGAAATCGTGAAACACGGAATCCTTTTTTTTTTATTGTTTCATTGAGATAATCTTGTAACCATTTTTCCAAATCCTCAACAATTTCTTTTGTTTGTTTTTTCCCGATAAATGTTATATATCAATTGATGATTATGATAATGCTATTATGATACCAATATCGATATTGATGTTGATAAATAATTACCTAAATCAATAATAAAATTTACTTCATAAATAATGGTAAAATTTTGCTATCATCAAATACTTTGATGTTGGAACTAGATGATGACATTTTTACTTTTTTATGTTAATATTTTCTGGGTTTTTTTTTTACTATTACATCCATATTAAGCATAATTTATTTGCCAAATAAAAAATAGTACTGATATTAGCACCAATCAAACAAATAGGTGTCAAGAACAATTTGTTCTTTATACTAACATAGAAGAATTAATAATCCAACCAATGTTAATAAATATTAATTACTTAATGAACCAGTATGGATGGGATTGTTTTCTGAAGATTTGTGTCAATGTTTCATCAAAAAATGAACTTTCACAGGGATCACGGTATGAGTGATTTTTTAATCTGTGGGAGTTATAAGCTTTATGTGGTAATAAAAAGACAGCCAAAAAGATTAGCATTGAAATGTGATACAAAATTACGATTATGAATTATAAACTGGGACCAAAGAAATTGACATTAGTTAAGGTAGATAATGAATGTCCCGACCAGGCAACGAAATACTAATACCACACACCATTGAAATTCAAAAATTCGATTATATGTACTGAAGATTCGCGCATTTACCAACAATGTGCTGCAGGCAACCTACCTAGTGTTGTGTTCAAAATTTTGTTACACAAGAATCGCTACGTGATTGTTGATCATATTAATATAAAAAAAAACTTTTCGAATCAAAAAATTTTTATTAATAATTATTAATGGAAGACAAAGAGAAGAAAGCTCATCGTCCACGTCAAGCTGGTTCCAAAAAAGATAAGAAAGATAAAAAGGATAAAAAAAAGAAACCCCAAGAAAAAAACAATCCAAAGGTTATTATTATATATATATATATATATGAATTATATATCATTCATAGTAACATTTTTAAATTTTTATTTATCAAAAACCATTTTCTTAAAATCTTAATATAACAGGCGTTTGCTCCTTTCTCTGGGAAAAAAGCTGACAAACTTGCTCGTCGTAAACAAGAGCTTCTCCAAAAGAAACTTCATGTTCCACTCGTAGATAGAACACCTATAGAACCACCACCTATTGTGGTTGCTATTGTTGGCCCACCACAGGTTTCTTTTTAAATCGAAAAATCAAACCTTGCGTGATTAAAAGTTTTCAAATTAAAATTAAAATATTTTTTATTTATTAATAATAGACTGGTAAAACTACTTTGATAAAATCACTGGTAAAAAGATACACTAAACATAATCTTACAGAAGTTAAAGGACCAATTACAGTTGTTAGTGGTATGCCTTCAATATACTTTTAAAAAATGCATTTTTATTTCAAAAGAAATTAATTATTGATATTTTATATGTGTGCATGCATGCATATAGGGAAAAAAAGAAGATTGACTTTTATTGAATGTGCAAATGATTTGAATTCAATGATTGATATAGCTAAAATAGCTGATTTAGTGCTACTTTTAATTGATGCAAGTTTTGGTTTTGAAATGGTAAATTCCAAAAATCAAAAAGTTGTTTAAATAATAAATGGTTTCTCAGATAGTCTTAAAAACAAACCTTTTTTTGGATCCTCAATTTAGGAAACATTTGAATTTCTTAATATTTTACAAGCTCATGGATTTCCTAAAATAATAGGTGTTCTGACACATTTGGACAAATTTAAAAATAACAAAGTTTTAAAAAATACCAAAAAAAGATTAAAACATCGTTTCTGGACAGAAATTTATCAAGGAGCAAAGCTTTTTTATCTGACTGGTATAATAAATGGCCGATATTCTAATAACGAGATACAAAATCTTTCAAGATTCATTTCTATTATGAGGTTTCGTCCGCTGATTTGGAGGAATACTCGTCCATATTTGGTGGCTGATATGTAAATATAAAAATAAAATGAGTTATTATAACCTGACTATAACACCTACATTCCTTTTTCTAGTCTTATTTTTATTCTTTTACAACCTGATCCTCGCATATTTTAAAAAAGAGAATTTTTCAAATATCCAATAGATAACTTTGAGATAATAGGAAGTTGGAATTTTTTTTGGAGTCACATCTGTACAAACATTTTTTCGTTCACTGTTCACTGGGGTGTTTTGTTTTCAATTGTTTGACGTTTATTAATATACGGAGACAGTTTTGGATCAGAAAACATACGTGCGTGTAATATTCGTATTGAACCCTCTACCCCTAGATAAAATTATTAAATTGTCACGTTCCTGAAGTGTGACAAAATTGAATGAGAGTCAAAATCCGCCATATGTATAAATTTTTTTTTTTTAACATTAAAAGATCATTCTATTTACGATTAGGATGTTGTTAGGAAACTGAAGCATGCACAGAGACTCAAGGAGTGGACCTATTAAAAGCTGTGATAAAGCTGCACAACAAGACCATCCGAAAGGAAAATGCATGGCTGACTTAGATTTTTAACCAGAGTAACAAAAAGACACTTGCATAGGCGTGGAAAGGATAGTTCCATTAAATTTGACACCCTAAACCTTAACATTTAATGTTATTTGACGAAATGTTGCCAAAGTTGTAAAACTATTATGTCAAATTCGTTGCCATTAATAGTATCATTTTTTACGTGCCACTTGACGATGATTTCATTTTTTTATGAGCTTCATTCTTGCAATGTCTCCATTATCAGAAAAAATACAAAATATCTGCTCTAAATACATTTGGATGCTCTTATAACCTTGTATAATCATCCTTTTTTTTTACCCACCCATCACATACTTGTAAAATTTTATTTGATGTTGATCATGCGATAATCAATGAAACTTTAATAATAATAGTAATAGTAATATATAGTAAAAAAATAAAAGAGGACAAGGGGCAAATGTGACTGACCCCTGTCTTTTTCACCATTTTTTTCTAAATCTTGTTTAATGATGTTACATTTGGCATCTAATTCACTGAAAAAACAAAGATTCAAACAATTTACTATCCAATTTATCCCCCAAAATCATAGAAGTTCACAGATACAAACAAACGCTAATACTACCAATCCTTATGTTAATTTTGACAATTTACCAAAAGCTGGTATATTTAATCCAAATTATTTAAAAAAAGTTTCAGTTTTGCCTTTTAAATATGATCTAGACCAATGTTCTAAGGAAGCATTAAAAGTAAGTGAATAGATAAATATATTTAATGAATTATATGTGTTTATGCTAAAATAATTCTTGGGTAATTGATACGTTTCATTATAAATTATTTTAGGAGAGATCCTATAAAAATTTAAGCACAGCGAAAATTTATATGCCTTGCTGGTACTATTCAATGCTAATCTGTGTTAAATTTATATGTTATGAAACGAACCGCGCGGCAATTCTTTATGAGGGCGAAGCTCATATCCTCACATCTGAAATACCTTCTTGTGTCATAGGAAATTTACATGCTTTTCAGTTAGTACCAGAGAAAAATATTTATATTTATATAAATTTCATAATATATATATATATATATATCAGAAAATTTTTTAAAAAAATTATTAATATATATAGTTGATAGCTTATTGATATTATTATTACATTAAAAAAAATTATATCTAAAGGTCATGAATTCTTTTTAGATTAGGACACACAATACGAATATATCAGAAATTAATTGAAAAAGTTACTCTAGGAAGGTTGATTTCAACAGTTTTCCCAAAAATAAAAAGCTTGAAACCAAAATATAACTTCGATTGGATAAAAGATTTACAACCAATCAACCCACAAATTTTTGCTGAAATTGATGTTGTGGACTTCACCTATAATCTCCCATATTTTACTCGATTGTTATTTGATCATTCAAAAGATAAATTCAAAAAAATCAAATCAATGACTATTGATGATTTTGTCATGGATGTGGAAAATATTGATGTGGAATTTCAACAATTTTTTCCTGTCTATCATCCTGTCTACGTATTTACAGAGGCATCTTCTACAGATAAAAGCTATCAAGTTGTTGATGCTTACAATTGTCAATTAATTGATCCATCAGTAAGCAATTTTGACTCTATAAAGTACTCTCTTGGTTTTGGCCTTCCTGATAGATTTTTATTTGGTGCATATTTCTTAAATATGCTTGATAAGATTGATGATAATTTTAATGACATTGTAACAAATGCAGAGAATCATTATATGTTGCCAATCAATTGGGATTTGGGTATCATTCAACCTTTCAGAGAAAGGTTTGAAGCAAATCAGCAATTTTTGGAAATTGTTGAAAAATATTATGGATTATTATCAGAATTGAAAGCTCTATATTATAATAATGGTTCATACAAACCAAGTTATTGTAGGAATTTTGATGATTGGATCAGTTATATTAATATGACTAATGGATGGAAAGAAATTTATAAAAAATTAAAGATTCCTTCAGATCTGCCTAGTTTGTCTGTTTTCTCGCAATACTTTTATACTGTAAAATCTGGATTTTTCCAATCAGTAAATGCAAGTGGTATAAAAGAAAAATTACATAAATTTGATCATAAATTTTCATTAAAAAATAAATTCCCTGGATCAACTTCTACTCCATATCTTGGAGTGAATCTTGGTAGAGTGAATCTTGATGGAGTGAATCCTGGTAGAGTGAATCTCGATGGGGTGAATCCTGGTAGAGTGAATCCTTTTGGAATGACAAATGCTGATATAATAAGAAATCATATATTAAAATCTAATGTCTCTTCTTCAAAATCACAATCATCACCAAAATCAAAACCTACTTCGCAATCATCACAATCACCTCCCTCTTCACGACCACCTTCTTCATCATCACGACCACCTTCTTCATCATCACCATCATCACCATCACCACCATCACCACCACCATCACCTACTTCTTCAACACCACCATCACACCATAGATTAAAGAGAACAAAATATTTATTGGATATTTTAGAACAGAGAACTAAAAAACCAAACAAATCAGCTTCACCCTCATCATCACCATCACCATCATCATCGCCATCACAAACTACTTCATCTGAAAGAAAAAAGAAACCTATATCAGTCATAGACATTGCAACAAAAAATATTACTCCTTCATCCTCATCATCATCGTCACCCTTCTCATCCAAAACACAAAAATCAGGCCCAATAATATCTGATCCTAAAGGATATTATAAAATACTTAAAATAGATTTATCATTATATAGAACTATTCCTGAAGATCTAGTGATTGAATTAAACTTCAAAAAAACATATGCAGAAATTCTGCAACAATCTAATGATCCAAATATTGCTGAAGAAGAGAAGCAAAGAAAAACTGAACAGCTTAGAAAGATTTTGGAAGCTAGAAATAAATTAAAAACATGTAGGTTTAAAAAAAAAAATTTATAATATGTTTAAGCCATATGTTTTTATGTAAAAAAATTAATAATTGTATTCTATTTTTATATAGCTGAATTGCGTATAAAATATAGTGAATTAAAATTAAATTGGAAATTTTAGAAATCATTTATCATTTGTTTTTTATACTAACATGATAATAATACATAATAAGATTGTACAAGAAACTAATTTATATTTTTGCATTTTAACTGATTCGTTTCGTCCAAAGTGCAAAGCAGATATAAAACACGACATGAAGAAACCACTGAGGCATTTTTGGAATTGAATTTATCTTGTAAAGCTTTTTGAATCTTTGGTGTCTAAATTAATTAATATTTTATATTTGTTAAAAATTATAAATAAAAAAATTACCCCAAACTTTTTTTACTCTAACCTCTTCATTCAAATAAAGGTCCAAATTTTCTTTATTGTCAACCTCAAAAACTACAGTGATACATTTATGTATTCGGTCAGGGTCTTTTATCTCAGTATCGCTTTCTTCATCATCTTTTGGAAATCGTGAAACACGGAATCCTTTTTTTTTTATTGTTTCATTGAGATAATCTTGTAACCATTTTTCCAAATCCTCAACAATTTCTTTTGTTTGTTTTTTCCCGATAAATGTTATATATCAATTGATGATTATGATAATGCTATTATGATACCAATATCGATATTGATGTTGATAAATAATTACCTAAATCAATAATAAAATTTACTTCATAAATAATGGTAAAATTTTGCTATCATCAAATACTTTGATGTTGGAACTAGATGATGACATTTTTACTTTTTTATGTTAATATTTTCTGGGTTTTTTTTTTACTATTACATCCATATTAAGCATAATTTATTTGCCAAATAAAAAATAGTACTGATATTAGCACCAATCAAACAAATAGGTGTCAAGAACAATTTGTTCTTTATACTAACATAGAAGAATTAATAATCCAACCAATGTTAATAAATATTAATTACTTAATGAACCAGTATGGATGGGATTGTTTTCTGAAGATTTGTGTCAATGTTTCATCAAAAAATGAACTTTCACAGGGATCACGGTATGAGTGATTTTTTAATCTGTGGGAGTTATAAGCTTTATGTGGTAATAAAAAGACAGCCAAAAAGATTAGCATTGAAATGTGATACAAAATTACGATTATGAATTATAAACTGGGACCAAAGAAATTGACATTAGTTAAGGTAGATAATGAATGTCCCGACCAGGCAACGAAATACTAATACCACACACCATTGAAATTCAAAAATTCGATTATATGTACTGAAGATTCGCGCATTTACCAACAATGTGCTGCAGGCAACCTACCTAGTGTTGTGTTCAAAATTTTGTTACACAAGAATCGCTACGTGATTGTTGATCATATTAATATAAAAAAAAACTTTTCGAATCAAAAAATTTTTATTAATAATTATTAATGGAAGACAAAGAGAAGAAAGCTCATCGTCCACGTCAAGCTGGTTCCAAAAAAGATAAGAAAGATAAAAAGGATAAAAAAAAGAAACCCCAAGAAAAAAACAATCCAAAGGTTATTATTATATATATATATATATATGAATTATATATCATTCATAGTAACATTTTTAAATTTTTATTTATCAAAAACCATTTTCTTAAAATCTTAATATAACAGGCGTTTGCTCCTTTCTCTGGGAAAAAAGCTGACAAACTTGCTCGTCGTAAACAAGAGCTTCTCCAAAAGAAACTTCATGTTCCACTCGTAGATAGAACACCTATAGAACCACCACCTATTGTGGTTGCTATTGTTGGCCCACCACAGGTTTCTTTTTAAATCGAAAAATCAAACCTTGCGTGATTAAAAGTTTTCAAATTAAAATTAAAATATTTTTTATTTATTAATAATAGACTGGTAAAACTACTTTGATAAAATCACTGGTAAAAAGATACACTAAACATAATCTTACAGAAGTTAAAGGACCAATTACAGTTGTTAGTGGTATGCCTTCAATATACTTTTAAAAAATGCATTTTTATTTCAAAAGAAATTAATTATTGATATTTTATATGTGTGCATGCATGCATATAGGGAAAAAAAGAAGATTGACTTTTATTGAATGTGCAAATGATTTGAATTCAATGATTGATATAGCTAAAATAGCTGATTTAGTGCTACTTTTAATTGATGCAAGTTTTGGTTTTGAAATGGTAAATTCCAAAAATCAAAAAGTTGTTTAAATAATAAATGGTTTCTCAGATAGTCTTAAAAACAAACCTTTTTTTGGATCCTCAATTTAGGAAACATTTGAATTTCTTAATATTTTACAAGCTCATGGATTTCCTAAAATAATAGGTGTTCTGACACATTTGGACAAATTTAAAAATAACAAAGTTTTAAAAAATACCAAAAAAAGATTAAAACATCGTTTCTGGACAGAAATTTATCAAGGAGCAAAGCTTTTTTATCTGACTGGTATAATAAATGGCCGATATTCTAATAACGAGATACAAAATCTTTCAAGATTCATTTCTATTATGAGGTTTCGTCCGCTGATTTGGAGGAATACTCGTCCATATTTGGTGGCTGATCGTGTTGAAGATTTAACTGATCCCGAAGAAGTTAGATTAAATCCATTGTGTGATCGTACTATAACTTTATATGGTTATCTACGAGGAACAAATATGAAAAGTAATATGAAGGTTTGTTGTTTTAAATTTTTCTTTTAACTTGTTTAGTTGAAATTGAATTTAAAAAAAGATTTGTGTGAACTTGTTTATTTATTATTCAAAAAAAGGTTCATATACCTGGTGCTGGAGATCAATGCATTTCAGACATTTCTATTTTATCAGATCCCTGTCCTCTTCCTGAAAAAGTAAGGAGGAGTCTCAGTGAAAAACAAAAACTTATTTATGCTCCAATGTCTGATGTAGGAGGTATTATGTATGACAAGGATGCTGTATATATTAATGTTCCTGGAAGTTTTACAAAAAAAAGTGCTCAAATAATTAATGATGATCACGACGATGATGACGATGATGATAAAACCCCTAACAAAAGAAAT